CAGGGGGACAAACGAAGGGAAGGACGACGTCACGCACGGCAGCGTCCGGTCGATCCTGCAGGAAGCCCTCGCTGACCTTCCGCGCGTCGGATGCGATGATGGTGAGGTGCGCATCGCGGTAGATGCGATGCATGCGAGCGAGCTCGCGCCGCTTGTCCTGGCCCGAGTCCTGTATTATGCACAGCGTGTCCGCCCACAGATATTGCATCCCGAGCTCGTGCGTGACGTAGATCGCGTCGCGGATAGTCTGCGGTAGGTTCGCAGGATTGATCCCCGCAGTGTAGACGTGCACGTTGGAGGTGAGAGTGCTGTGTGGTTGCGGCTCGCCCCAGACGTAGCTGAGCGCGCAGTACTTGCCGCGTAGGCCGTCCGTCGGGGCGAGACGCGGACGGCTGGGATCGGAGCAGTCGATGAGACGGGTAGGGAGCAGAGCATCGCTCTCGTGAGATGCTAGCAGGGCTCGGCAGCGCGCATGTCCCCGTGCGCACTCGTCGACGCAGTCTTTCGCAAGAGCTAGAGCATGCGGGGATCCGATGTCTAGGACACGGCTTCGCGCGACGACGCACCCCGCCGCTGGGTCTTCTGTCGATCCAGTTTCAGCAAAGCTGCAAGGTCAGAGAAATCCACAGTACGAGAACATACTGGTGCTTGTATACAGGTACCCTTCAAATCGCAGCAAGCCATTTGCACATACAGCCAGTTCTTGAGCGTGGGGAGGGCTAACCTCGTTTGAAGGCGGCTTGATACCCACGATGATCTTCACCGGACTTGCGCTCGGCATAGAGTCGTCGTCCTTGGACCGAGTCGCATACAACAGCCGACACCAAAGGCATCCGGCGTCGGCCTGTGACTTGACCTCTGCCCACGAAGTCGAGTATGCATATCCTCCGCTGTATGAGGAGTCCTTTTGCCTTACAACATGCGTGTGGAAGAGCCCGAGGTGCGCTGCAAAGGGTCCATCCCAGCACGGTTGACAGAGCGCGGACGGTTGTATGTTATCGCTGTGGACATTGCCTTTTGGTGAGTAGGCTATACACTACCAGGTACGCCGATACTGACTTTGCTAAACTTGTACGCGCACTGTCTGCATCCCCGCTTGTGGCTCGCATACGCTCGTTCGACAACCGTGCGATGGCGTCCAGCGACAATCGACACGACATGTCGGCTGCGCGGTCCCCCGAGAGTATTACCGCAAAGCCCAGTTCCGGTGAAGAGTGCATCAAAGAGCCGGAAGGTCGTTTCTGCAGTGAAGCCAAGAGGTGCTAGTCACAGACATGGATACGGGTCATCGACGAAGCGCAGTGTGTATACTCCACGGAGTGATGCGCAGCCTGAGAAATCATCTCTTGTCAGACGAAGCTGTAAGAAGGACGAGAACAACATACTACAGATTCTATACTCCATGACTGCCACTCCACTCCGACAGTGCAGCAACCGGCTTCAGTGGACCCAGTAGCCGTCGGCTTGTTTCTGAAGCCGCTCGCGCACTGCATATCCCCCTCCGATGGACTCCCGTATCAGTCTAGAACGCGCCCTGCGTTGATGAACGAAGTGGAAGCTCGATAGGACGTGGTGACGACTGGACAGGCTGCTGGTGGTCGAGCCATGTTTGAGCATCAGTCTTCGAATTTGCGTGGTCTCCAAATTTCATCCGCTCAATGCATAACAAATGATGTTGAACCAAGGACCAAACCTGCAGCAGTCGTAGCATCATGCATACAGGGCGTTGCCAAGGCGCGAGGAGCCCAGGGATGAAGACAGCCAGAGGTCATGGTGGTAGCGGACCAAGGTGGACCGGTCCGAGTCCCTCGCAAGCTCACACGCATCCCACCACCACGCACTCGAACACTGGATGCACGTCTAGCAGCAAACGAACACCCTCACCATGCACCCATGCAAGAGATCATATGCTCACCGAGCGTGCGATCTACTAAATAGTCTAATTTCCTCCAATCCGACCGAGCGAAAAGACATGGAAAGAAACTCTACGCACGCGCGCCGCGCACCGATCACACACCACTCCGACGCGACAGACGCAGCAGGGCATGCAGACAGAGGAAACGAGAGCCAGGCCGTAGATCGATGTACAAGAGACGACAGAGATGAGAGATATGTCACAGTCATTGCGAAGATAGTACTAGTCGTGAACGTACGCGGGGGTATTACGAACGGTAACGGTGAGCGGACGAAGCGAGGGCCGGGTAAGGGCAGGCGCGTGCACCGCGCGCCCATCCTGGTCGCCGTGAAGGAGCAGGTGCGTGGATGTTGAAAGCGAGATGCCCGGCAGGCCTGGTGCGATACTCGGAAAGGGAAAGCGGGTAACGTAGAGTCCTGGCCAGCCGAGGGAAACACCGGGGATCGCAAAGGCTTAGAGCACGACGCAATGGTGGCTCTTCTTCGCGCCCTTGGGCCGAATGAGGAGCGCAGCACGGGTCGCGTACTGGAACACCTCCCGCACGCCCTCACCCGTCCGTGCCGAGCACTCGAGATAGTGACGGGCACCGATCTTCTGTGCTACCGCCATGCCCTATTCACCAGTCGAAGTCAGCACGACGCAAAGAGGATGGGCTCCGCCGAGACGCATGCAAAGGGCATGGCACAGGTGCACAAAACAACGACGCACCTCCTCGGGAGTGACCGGCCGCTGGTTGGTCTTCCTCAGCTCCTCAATGACCCTGGGGTCCCGCCGGAGATCCTTCTTGCAGCCGACCAGGATGACCGGAAGGCCGGCGCAAAAGTGCATCACCTCGGAAATCCACTGTTGGCGTGTGGAGCGGGCGCGGTCAGAATAGCACGCATATGTCATCGAGGTGCAAGACAGACCTTCTCCTGTACGTTGTCAAGCGAATCGGGCGAGTCCACGGCGAAGCAGATGAGGATGACGTGGGAGTCGGGGTAGGACAGGGGGCGGAGACGATCGTAGTCCTCCTGGCCGGCGGTATCCCAGAGGGCGAGCTCGACGTGCTTGCCATCGACCTCTACATCGGCGACGTAGTTCTCGAAGACGGTGGGGACGTAAACCTGTGGTGATTGTTAGCGCCAGGGAACGCACGCGATCATCGCCACGTCTGCAGGTGCGCGCGGGCAACGCGACAATTAAGAGGTGGACCACTGACCTCGGGGAAGGTTCCCTTGGAGAAGACGATCAAAAGACAGGTCTAGGGAGCGCAGAGTGAGTTGTGAGTGAGCTGTGAGGGAAGTGGTACGATTGTGGTTGAATGGAGCGCACCTTTCCGCAAGCACCATCACCGACGATGACGAGCTTCCTGCGAATTT